CCGCCACCCGCCACGTCCGTCAGCACCCTCCCTGATTCACGTCCTCCTTGTCCCGTTCTTCCCCGCAAACGTCCGCAGCGACTAACCAGCGCCAGCAGCCGCCCGTTTAAAAGCCGACAACTCTGCTGAGAGAAGCAGGGGCTCACGACGGTGACCGCGGCTGGCGGGTATCACAGATGACGCGTCGCGGGGGGGTCGGGATTGAGCGTGTTGAGGGGAGGGGGGCAAGAGCCTCCGGCCGCCCCACTACCACGCACAGGGTAGAGCAGCGGGAGGTGGTTGCAGGATAGGGTGCTGAGGCTGCTGTGTCACCCCGCCCCACCCACGCGCACAGATCAGTGTCAGTGCGGGAGAAAGTTGCAAAGGGTTATGCAGTCATCCAACGTTTGAGGTTGCACAGCAATATCAGCACCACCGCCAGCAGCAGCAGCAGCAGCAGTAGCAGCAGTAGCAACAACACCACCGCCAGCAGCAGCATCAGCAGTAGCAGCAGTAGTAGCAGCACCAGCAGCAGTAGTAGTAGCAGCACCACCACCGCCAGCATCAGCAGCAGCAGCACCACCACCACCACCACCACCAGCAGCAGCAGCAGCAGCACCACCACCAGCAGCAGCAGCAGCAGCACCACCACCAGCAGCAGCACCACCACCGCCAGCATCAGCATCAGCAGCAGCAGCGTTAGTACTAGTAATAACAGTACGTAGTAGCGTCGGTCTAGCGTCAGTCGGTGGACGGTGAACACCGTGCCTGCTTTGCACGCATGCGTTCTTCTAGGCTATATGTAGGCACTGAGAGCATGAACCGAGCTCGACCATCCCTCAGCAACTCTAGCGGCATGCTCCATCAACGAAACTCATTAGTGATGCACAACCGAAAGAAACAAGTTGTTCACCGCATCGCCACTATGTATGTATATATGATCGTTATAATATATACAGACAGGGTCGCAGTGGGCGGGGCCCACCGAGGGTGGCCCCTGCTATTGGACATGCCCCATGTTAAGACTCGGTTTCAATAAATGCATGATGCAACATCACAAAATACTATTAGAGCCCAAACCATAGGGTCGTCGTTCCTCGCTTTGACTACTTGTGGCTGCAATTCAAAATACACCGTTATGTATCGACAGTCAGAGATTGTACAGCACAGTTAAAATAATCATGTATAGTTCGATCAAACACACATAAGCACAGTTATACTCATCTACGAAGGCAGTAAGACTAGAGTGATATAGACGTAGATATTTAGCCATGCTTCGGATGACAGCAAAGACTCGCAAGTTTGCAGTTAAACGGTGAAGCCTATTTATGACACCGATGGGAAAGAAGAGCATGCATGAACACGCGTGGGATGAATATATATATATATATATATATATATACATTAAGTCTCGAAATTTTATTTTCCATTTGCGCTTTAAGATGTCAAAGGTGTCCTAGCACTAAGAGTAGGTTAATT